GCTCAATCAAGTTTGGAGTCGGTTTAGATTTTGATGTTACAATTGGACTTGACACTACATTTAATAAGAATGTTTTTTTGCAGCTGAAAAGTTGGAATTTTGAGGTCACTTTGAAGTTCTTACTGCTTACTGTATCGTCTTTGTAACCTGTAGGGAGAGATGAAAATGAAGAAAATTCACAATGTTTTGGTTACGATAAGAGGAAATGAAGAACCGGATCGGTATGTGATTCTTGGAAACCATAGAGACGCATGGACATATGGAGCTGTTGATCCAAACAGTGGAACTTCTGCTTTACTTGACATTGGCCGACGATTCGCTCTGTTGCTTAAATCTGGTTGGAGGCCTCGTAGGACTATTCTTCTTTGTAGTTGGGATGCAGAAGAATTTGGAATGGTTTGTTAGTCAGTTTATTCGAAAAGCCGAATCTACTTGTTGGCTCGACTAAACCATTTTTGATTTTAGTGTTTTTTTTCTTGTGTTTTATAGATTGGATCAACTGAATGGGTTGAAGAAAATGTTCTTAACTTAGGTGCAAGTGCTGTGGCTTATCTTAATGTAGATTGCGCGGTCCAAGGCTCTGGATTTTTTGCTGGCGCAACTCCTCAATTAGACGGTCTTCTTGTAGATGCCTTGAAGCTGGTAATAAGAATAACAATCGGGCCGAAGCAATATGAAACTTTCTTGGTTTAGTCGTCGATAAAATTCTTAGTCTCCGGTATCATTTTTCTTGTCAGGTCCAGGATCCTGATGTCGTAGGTTTGACAGTGGAAGAGACGTTCAAGTCTCAGAATAGCATTGTAAGTTTAACTTGTTGTTGAACGATTGTTATGCGCCAACAGAGATTTACGGAATTTTTAGATTCTGAATAATTGTCTTTAATGGACTGCAGATACAGAGGCTAAGTAGAGTGGACTCTGATTTTTCCGGTTTTCTTCACCATGCCGGGATACCATCTATCGACATGTATTATGGAGCAGGTAAACCAGAAGTTGATTCCTAATGTGATGTTCTAGCAAGTTATGTCAATAACGTATGTTGTTTATCTTGTGAGTTTTGCAGATTATCCTGTCTATCACACCGCATTTGACTCCTATGATTGGATGATCCACAATGCGGATCCGTTGTTTCACCGTCATGTTGCCAGTAAAGCTTTTTTCTTTCTCTTTCGGTCTACTATTAAGCTCTGAAGAGAGTTAACTCCCGTCTTTACTGTCTATATTTCTCAGTGGCTGGGATTTGGGGACTTTTAGGAATTATCTTGGCTGATGAGCCACTCATACCGTACGATTACATCTCTTATGCGGAACAATTGGGGGTACATACGTTCTTTCGACTCCCTTGACACATAAGATGAAAAGAAACTGATTTTATGTTCTGTGTTATGGTTCAGGCACATAGCAAAGCATTGAGTAAGCTCTTAGAAGGGAAAGTCTCTGTTAGTCCCTTAAGCATGGCGATACAAGAGTTCTCTTTGGTTGCCAAAGAAGCCGCCGATGAAGCAAAGGTTCCTAATGGTTTTGCTGATTATAAGTATAACCTGATTTTTTTTCTATTCTTTCTCAACACCTATACATATATTGGTTTTGATTTTGCAGAAATTGAAGGAGCAAGCTTCTAGCAAAAGTGATGTTGCAGCAGCAGCGAGAAAAAGAGAGCTAAATGACAGGATGATGCTTGTAGAAAGAGGGTTTTTGGATGCAGAAGGGATCAAAGGGAAAGAATGGTTCAAGCATCTTGTGAGTGTGAAAACATTTTTCAATCACAGATTTCACTTTTGCAAAACTCATATGACCTTGTGTGTTGTGTGCATGTATAGGTGTATGGACCCGCAGTTGAACCAGAGAGCAAGCTAGGTTTTTTCCCGGGAATAGCAGATGCAATAGCGAGGAACTCATCAGTGGGAATGATCGAGCACGAGATATGGAGAGTCGCGAGAGCGATTCAGAGAGCAAGCAAAGCTCTTAAAGGAGGGTTCACATGAGAAAAATCTCAAGAGT